ATCAAACCAAAATATTTTACTAGTTAAATTTAGTAGGAATAACACGATCTGTGACGTAGGCTATAATATACCCAATTATATCCACAGCTTTTGCCTAGTTTACACACACTCGTATGTGCAATATGCTGACATCCAGGAGATTAGCGTATTCATGGAAATAATAGAGAGATTTCAAACTTTTACATTAGCTTCCGTACGCTCCTGTACGAAAGATTGAAGCAACTGCGCATGCTCACGTTCATTTTAAATGCTACGTAACTTTACGTACTGTTGGCGTGATCTACGCTACAACAAAAACAAAGACAAAGCTAGAACCTTTCTGTTTGTAGCTGTGTTGATTATGTTGTTTTCTGTTTAAGTCTACCTTCGAATTAAAAACATGGACATGGAATTCGAATTTGAAGAAATGTATTGATGAAATTTAGAAATGAATCGTGTGATATTGCAGCAATAGGTTCATTCAATAAAAAATTGCATGAAAAATGCTCTATAGTTCCATAAAACATTATACATACTTTCGCTATTTTAAAATTATAAATTATATTTATATTTTAACTATACAAATTTAAAAGAAGTTAAATAATCAATAGATGTTCAATAATATTTTTTTAAAAATATTATTATTATTAATAATAATAATAAAAATAAGCTTCATTCTTTGTCACCGAATCCATTAAAATCTATAATCTACCAAATTTTTTTTTGCTCACAGATCCGCTGTTTTACGTAGAGCAAAGCATCTTGAATCGTGACACAGCGTCAAAGAGATAGACTATTAGACTATATTTTTTTTAGTACGTCCATTGTAAATGTTTGTTTTGATTTTGTGGTCAAAGTTAAAACGATACTCCACTACGTTAGAGTTTTTAACATACGGATTTTTGCAAAATCTCCTATTTTCACTTACGTAAGTTTGATATTTTGTCATGGGTGCATGCGCATTTCATCTGAACTGACGCATGCACACTAGAAGTGGTTAAACAATAAATTCAACTATTCATGTATAGACTATATTCAACTGTCAATTCAATTAAGAGTAAACTACATCAAAATGTTTGTAGTTAATTTTTTAAGAAAAATCGATGCAAGTTCGAATTATTTAAAATAATTGTTATACTGTAATAAATGTAATTTTCTTTCAATTATTTTGTGATTTATAAATAAAACAAGCATATAAACAATGGTATTAAGAAATAGTCTTTATTAGTATAATCGAAATTATTAAAGATATGATAGTCAATTTCTTAAATTTTATTTCCCGCCAAATGAATTCTCTTTAAACGACTTTCGTGGTTTTCGCCTCTTGCAATCCAAAACTGTGTCTAAGATATATTCATACCTATCTGGCGTTTTAAAATTAATTTGGGATAACGTATATTATGCAGGGGAAGGTGAAGTCAAGCTAAATTAATTGATAATTTATAGACTACATTTCTGTAAGTAAACTAAAATTAATTAAAAAAATATTCGTTAAGCTTGTTTTCCTTATCCTTTCTTTACATTTTCTTTACTAAATATTGCTGTGTTAATCTGATGCTGGAATATTTAATAAGGTGATGCTGAGAAGAATGATGGTTTGGCAGTGTGAAATGTTAAATATAGATGGTAGCACTGGAGAAAGATTGGCAATTGTTTTCTAAATTAAACATTAAATTATCAAAAACATTAATAAATAAATTAAAAACACGTCAATTATTTGGTTAATTAAAAACTGAAGGAAATTCATAAATTGATAATAATAATATGTAAATAGAATAAAATTTTAGATTCTGAGAATATCACGAGTTTTGAGGTATTTAAGAAAATATATCGTGTTGTTAATTGATTTTAACTTTATATTTTACCACGATTTCACAATAATGTTTGCGTTAAAAATGTGTAAATTAAGAGATTACAGGTTTTTAATTCAGTTTTAAATAGTATACGGTCAGAAAGAGAATTTTTCACATCGCCAAAAATAGCAATGTTTCCTTTTTAATATTTCTCTCTCTCCCTTTCTCCCCTCTCACTTTTCGTCTGTTTCTCTTTCTTCTTCTTGCTTTTATCTATGATTGAGAGTCTTCTCAAGAATTTAAAAGAAAAAATCATTTTTTTTAAAATTTGTTTTTAGACCTCAAAAGTTAACACTTATATTTTTTTTATAAAAAACACTTAACTATATGTGTGGATTACATAAACTATGCGTTTTTTCCCCTAAAGTTCAAATTCTTTTTTAACATCATTATGACGCTTGGGATTTGAATATTTAAATTAAAAGATAAGATTTTCAGTTTGATTTTGCATTATATACGGTCTTAGGTCTTAAAGATAATTTGTTACGTTTTAGAAAGTGAACAGATAAAAAATAATTGTCTCTCTCTCTCTCTCTTTGCATTCTTAATGATTAAGGACCTTTGCAGGAAAAAAATATGCTTCTCAGTAGCTTACTTGCTTTTATATGTAAACACTTATATTTTTCATAGGAAACAAGTATGGAAAATTATTTATATTTAAAGAGAGCTATAAAAGATTTCATACATTTTATTTTATTATTGTTTAAGATAATCATGGAGCGCAAAACATTATTGATGCTAAATTCAATATCCTAATTGAATCTTATATTCCAGCGTAACTGCATTTCTGATTTAAAAAGTGAATAAAAAAATATGCGACTTTTTGAAAACTAAATATAATCGTATTAAGGAATAAGATATTTCACATTTTTTCCCCTTACTTATGTTTCACCATTTTTCGCTTTTACCTTTAACGTTAAAAATATTTATATCTTTGCTCGAACACGAACTCTTTTTTTTTCCCTTCTCAAATTGGTATCTCTTATATAAAGTTTAAAAAAAAAGAAAGAAAGAGAAATGGAGTTTTCAAAATGGATAAGAGTTTTTCAAATAGCTGCACTGTAGTTGGAAGCTAATATTATTGCTTAGTAAAATAACAAATAATAATAATATAAAATAGTAAAATAAAATAAAATGAAAGTATTAAAACTATGTTTTTCAGGTTGACTTTAAGCCAGCGTGAAGAAATATTTTTATTTTTGTCGGATCTAAAATGGAAAACGTAGAGGGCTTGACTTTCGAAAAGCAACGGGGGACAATGAAATTTTTGTTAGGGAAATAAGTTTATTGGGTGCTTAAGAACTGCCCTTAATGCTAGTTGTGTCCTTCTTCTTCTTTTTTATTGACTCGACAGCATTTTGTGGGTCAAGGTCTTCTTCAGGATCTTCTTCCATTTCACTCTCATGATGGTTAGGTTTTTCCAGTTTTCTTTGAATTATTGAAACCTCGATGTTTCTTAAGTCAGGATCAAGATACCTGGAATATGCGGCCATATTTCATAGATGTCGTCGTGAATCGTCTTGATCATTTTGTTTTTACACAGAACCAAACAGTTGTAGAGACTTTCACGAAGTTTTCAGTCAATATTTCCAAACTCTTTGAAGGCGACACAAATGCCATGTAAAAACGTTTAAAATCTAAATGCTGTTATGAGCCATCTGGATGGTTAACTGGACCTCATTTATTGGTTTCAATATCAATGATAAATAATCTATCAATAATACAACAGCATAAATCATACTGATAACTCTAATCAGTGCTAAGATCCAATAATTGTGATCTATGTAAGTGAACTACAATGATTGCCTTAAATGCATCGGCACATGTTAGCAGTGTTGTACCGTTTTTCCTATTACGTAGCTGCAAGCTACATTTACTCCATCGAGTACCTGCTGAGCATGTCGCAATGTTAGCTCATTAATATGCAAAATGCATATTAACCATTAAATCAGTCTATCAAGATGACTGTCAACTAACCTTGTGGCGTAACTACCACTAAAACTATTAAATACCAAATCACTAGTATATAAGACATGTTAACTTAATTCTATCAAGAGGTACCTTTTGATAAGATGAAGGATTCGATTTATAATTCGATTTATAATTCCCTTCAAAATTATTGAAAATGAAATTGCTCCAGTATTTACATTTATGCCGTCGTAGCTGACAGCATTAAGATGATCTAGATATTGGGAAAAAATTCACAAGTCTTTAATATTTTAGAAAGAGATGTACAATGCGCAAAAAAAATGGATGACTCTGGATAACTTCTGATCTAAATATTGATATTTTAAGTACTTGGACTCAATCTTAATGGTACAAGAGGGTGGTACAAGATGGTACAAGAGGACCTCAAATATGTTAATTAATTAGCGCTAACAATATTTCAAGTTACGAAATCAGACACAAAAACGTACTTTCTCTGAATAAACATACTTTTTTTCAGATGGATTCAAATTTCTGACACCCAAAATATAAGGGTTAGCCGCATTCTGGGAAATATGGTCACGAATATGGACTTTTATGGCGGCAAATAAGGATTTTTAAGGGAATTAAGAAAATTTTCGTACAATTATAAAATTTGTTTATCCAAAGATAATTCAATGCAAAAGATAAATTTTAGTAAATGTTATAATTTTTATTATTTAATTTAATAATAGACGAAAAAAATTTGAATTGTGAGATATGCAATTGATAGACAAAATAAACAAATGAATGGCGAAATACGCCAAAAGTAAAATGCGAAAGTGATAACAAGTAAAATGTGGTAAGAAAGTAAAATTTAAATAGCTCTCCTGACCAAATTATGGGGACCATATTTCCCAGATACTTCAACTTTGCCCTCGAAGATGGTTAGTCATGTGATGATGCCATGACCCTGGTTTCTGAGCCATACGTGAGCACAGGTCTCGTGATAGTCTCGTGATAGATAAACTGATTGTGTCCCCTTTATGAATTGTAACATGAATAGTGTCCCCTACTTTTATAGTTTCATTTAAAAGAAAAATAAAGTTATTTTACTCTTTTTAGTCTTCTTGAGAAACGTGACTTTTAAAATTTTCAATTTATTTCTGACTTTTTTCTTTCTAGTTTTATTTTAGTCAGATTACACGGGCAGCTCTTTTGATTGTACATTTGATTGCACCAATTAGGGAAACTAACGGTAATCTGTATTGGTGTCAGATACAGAGCTCCTGTTAAAATTTGAGCACCCCAAGTAGCCGAAATTTTGTTTGACAAATCTTTCTATTTAGCGATAAGAGGGTATCGTGTAGTAGAACTATTAAAATTTTTGTTTTCCCGCTGCACTGATCAACTATTTAGTTCTGAGTGCACCAGCTTGTTAGAGAGTGGAAAAATTGACGATAAACTCAGTTCTGACACAGAACTCTTGACACATATTTCTGACACAGAACTCCTGAAACATTTTTAATCGCTGAGTGGTTGGAATTTTCTTGGTCATAAACTCTTTTTTGTGATAAAAAGACGATTTATTTTGCTAGTAGTGGGCAGGAAATAATAACTTGTATTGTTATCAGGCAAAAAGCTCTTGTATAGATTAGAGTTGGGAGGGAAAAAATGGAATCCAAATGCAAATTTATGGTAGTGTGCCCGCCGCTTATTAAAACGACGTCCGTTCTGGAAACTTTAGATTTTATAAAGCGGTTGATTTTATAAACCGGAATATAATACCGGTATAATTAAGAAAAACGTTCAAAGATAAATTTTACAAAAACACTTGAAGCAAAATCTAATACTGAATTTTATTTTTGCTCAAGCTACATTTGACACTTTAATTAAAGATGGTAAGTAATTTTTTTTTTAATTTTCAAAGTTTTTTTAAAAATATTAGTACATTTGTTTGATTGACAAAATATAAAATTTAAGATTCAACACGGCCCAAGTCAATAAAGTTTGAAAAAATATTTGTAGTTAGCGGTATTTTCTTTTCTTTGCTGCAAAGTGCCTTTTAAAGCACATTTCTCACAGATAGATTTATCTTATTGAATGTGTGAAAATCATTGGTATTGAATGATGATAAGCATTCTATAACCTTTCTTAAATCATAAACAGTTTTCATTTGGATGTCTTTGCACTCTGTTTTATAATTTAATTCTCACCTTTCAAGTTTCCTAAAAAGTGTAATCTGTAATTGTAACTTATGTTATTGTTGACTATGTTATTGTTATTGTTATTTTCGTTCGTAGGGGGCCCAATGAAATGTACTTCTTAAATGTTTTCAAAAATTGAGAAAATATAAGAGAAAGCTGAGCTTTTGATGTTTTTAAAGATATGCCCTATAAAAAATTGATTTTTCGAAATGGCGTTCATGATTTTATAAAATGAATGTTTTATTTTTTTTAATATTATAATTTCTTTTTGGCAAATTTGAAATTAAAAAAAGTGGCTAATTCAATAATCTAGTGATTTTATTAACGGTGGTCATTCCACAGCGTTATGAAAGATTCTTAACTCCTTTTCCCTGATATTTTTTTAAAAATTTTATTAAAAAAAAAAAAACATACCCGATCGTCTCCAGGATGACCATCTTGTATTTAATTCAGGAATGTTAGAATTTCTGTGGGGAGGCTGCAATGAAAAAAAAATGTTAGTTAAATTTTTTTACGAATCAATTTTATATTAATAATTTTATATTATTATTTAATTTTAATGCGACTTTCTGTTACTTTTGTCTTTCGAAAATATTCATTTTCAAAGTGAAAGTGCTTGTGTAAAAATTCTTATTACAAGTCAAATTTAAATTTTAACCGTGATAAATTATCAGTTTTCAGATGTTTTCTCTAACTGATTATTAATCCGATTATTATACCGTTTTGTAACTGATTACTGATTATTAGAATTAAGTTATTTTTATTTCGAAGAAAGAAAAATATTTATAAGATTACTTCTTTTTCAAATAAATACATCAATTATCCAATTTTAGATTGCCTTTCAATTAGTTTAAACTTTCATAAAATTTTTAAGAAATATAAAAAAGAATAAATGAAAAATACAAAGAATGAGTACATAGTGAAAATGTATTGTATAAAACACGAAATAATCTGAATATTTTTACTTTATTTCTGGCCATACAAACATAGATAAGCTCTTTCATCTCAAACTCGTGATTAAAAAATTTCTCAAGCTTTATTGAAAAATAGTACTTTTCTTTAGCGACAAAAGTTTATAATAGCTATGGCTATAATAAATTACTATAAACGTTATAATGTAGAAGTAAATTTTATTTTCGTATAATGTTATTGCTTCTGTGTTATTGCTTCAACTTAATTTCATTAAAAAAGACTTATTTCAAAGTAATATATTTAAGGATAAAATTTCAAGACAGAAATGTAAATTTAAGAGAATTGCATTTTGCGTTAAATTATGCGTAAAATTAATAGAAATTTTTTATTTTTAATGAAAAAAGTCATACAGCACTCCACGAAGAATCACGCCGTTGTTGAAAAATAAACGAATTTTCGAATTATAATTGAAGAAGTAAATTTGAAATTGCCTAAAATGAATGAAAAATTTAACTCAGGTTTTAATAAAGATATTAACTCAATCCTAAATTTATAACAGTGAATTTAAAAAAAAAATCAAAGAGAGATTGCTGGGTCGTGAAGTAAGAAATTTTATTAAAATATAAAATAATGTTAATGAAATTAAAAATAATTAAAGTATAAAATAAAATAAAAAAATAAAATAAAAAAATACAATACGTCATTTAAAATAAAAATTAAAGAAAACAACTTCAAACAGAGCAATAAAAATGATAAATTAAAAGAGTAATAAAGTAAAATATAATTAATTAGAATAAAAATAACAAGAATAATACTAATTAATCTTTCTAATGACTTACTATAAAAAAAGTTTAATATTAAGTTAATAAAAGTAATAAAAGTTAATACTCCTTAATATATATATATATATNTATATATAAAGTGAGAAATGTTTGTTTGCACTTTGCTTTTAAGTATTAATAAAAACTTACGATTTTTAAATAATTTATAAAAGATTAAAACAAAGCATATTTTTTTAAAATATTCATTTCAGTTAATAACTGAATTAATTAGGAAGAAGAGAGAGAAAATATATTTTGCAAATGATGTAAAGATTATCTCTGTCATTAATAATAAATTTACAAGAACAAATCTGCACAAAATATTCATACAATATTAATAATTTTTCAATTAAAAAGTTGTATTAAAGATCAAAGCTGTCTGTAGGTTAAAATATTATTTTCATGAATATATAGCCTATGAAACAAAGAATACCAAAAAAAAAAAAAAAAAAAAACTTCTTCTCTTTCTCTTAAAACAATAAGCTTATTTTATAATGTTTTGAACTCAATGCATCCTCAGCGGTAATCAAAATAAGATTAGATCCAATCAAATGCAAAATTTTCTGGCAAAATTGTCTTCTTGAATAAAATTTATTTATTTTTTGCTTTCTATTTGATTTTCCATGTTGCATTGGGAGTTCTCTTTCAACTTGTTAGAAGCTTTTCTTTCTATCTTCACTTCTTTGTTTCTATTCCCGACTAATCTTGTTAGAAAGATTATCTTTTCTCATTTTATTGTTTCATTTTTTGATATTTTACAAGTTTGAAGAACACATTTAGATATAAAAAAATGCAAATTAAGCCTATTGTTATGCAAAGCCTATCACACGAACCCTATTGTTATGCAAATATAGTCTCTTGAAATTCAAAAAAAGTATATTTATAGTTCACTGTATTGATATATAATTTGCTGGTTACCATCAGTTTGATTATTTTCCTTCTAGATTGATTTCACTCAAAATAGCAAGATTAAATAAAAACTTTAAAATCTCCTTATTATCTCTATTAATTTATATACTAATCAATTTATCATTGATGAGTTTTGCCAGTTGTTTATAATTTTTTTTCTTCAAAATATGCAAGGTGCTCTGCTATTAACACCCTTAATATGAATTACTTTAAATGGTCACACATGTGTAACACATTCGGTTAAGACGGCTATCACACGGCTGGTTGAGGAACTGGGGGTAGTGAGGTCAATCTTGACATTCGATAAAACAGTATTTGCACGTTAAATCTGTCGTGGCTGAAAGTTCTTTCTTTGGTTATGGTATGGAAGTTCAAAAGGCGGGGTACCAGCTCACACACTGTCTACGTCGTCGGACTGAGGTCAAAATTGCTTGGCCTTCCTACCATGGCCGTTAAAAGATAGATAGTTTCTTGGTCATGGTTAGGTGATGTGAGTTTCACACGTTAAGATGTTCTTTAAGGAATTATTATTTCGGTTTAATTGTAATGTTAAAAATTATTAAAAACAACCATTTTTTCATAAATTAAGCAGCCAAATTCCATTCGTTTTCTGACAAAGTGCTATTTGTGTTGTATGGGTTGTTTTAAATAAGGCTTTCAACCTTATTTAAAATTACAGGATTACAATTATTCATATTACAGGAAATTCTAATATTTGCGTCTTAAAATGTTGAAATTTAAAAGCTAAATTTAGTAACTACAGGATAAAAATTTTATCTTTTGAGTAATAAGTTTCAAAAGCACCTGTCTGCATTTTAGAATCTAGATTAGACATCAAAAACAAATCTTTATTTAAAAAAAAAGTGAATAGAAAAGTTAACTGACAACTATTTTACGAACTATTTTAACAATTTATAACAGTTCAGTTCAGTTGAATCGAGAAATTAAAAGGATACGAGAAATTTAAACACGAAATCTGACTACACGGAGAAAACAACCCAGGTGAAATTACCGAACTGACAAAAAATGACTGTAACGACATTTCTTGTAAAAAAAAAATTAAAAAAAAATTAATTTTGGTTAACAAAATTTAAGTATACGGTACTTAAACCATTCATTTGGTAATTTTTGTTCATAAGGTAAAGGTTTACCGGAAATTATTTTTTCAAAATTATATATCTTATTATCTCACAATTAGTAAAAAATACGAAACTGAAAAGTAAATTTAACCGGATAAATGGTTTTTATGTCATGCTCTAAGGTATCATGATAAAATTGCCAAATTTTTCCACACATACCAAATTTTTCACACATTAAAAAAAAAAAATCATATTTTCTTGTTAATTTTATCAAAGCGCTTTTATGATGTTCTCATAGAGCCAGAAACACGATAAATTTGATCTTATTCTTGTAGTTTTTACAATACTTTTCTCACTGTACTATCACACGCTGCTAAACTATTAAAAATTTTATATCGAAATCGAACTGGATTTGAAATAAATTAGAGTTGAAAACATATTTCCTTTTTTTAAACAAATTCCTTTTTTTTAAAGAAATTTAAATTTTTTTCAATTAAATGATTTCAAGCTGTCATTCGGTAGTCATTTAGAATTTATCGGTATATTTTGTCTTCTATATGACTAAAAAGTTCTTTTCATATGACGCTGATATCATTTTATCATTTATGTAGTTCTTATCATTTTTGATATATTTGCTTATAAAAATGATATTTCAATCACCTGAAATAGATAATAAAATAAAATTTACTTTTCCGATTTAATGATTATATTTTAAAAAAAATATTGATAATTTCTCGAGACACTTGATCTAAAAAGTATGTTACTATTGTTTTTAAGTTAATCTGATAAATTGTATAATTCAAATATAAATCAAACTTAAAAAAAGCCCAAAAATTTATACAATTTGTAAAATATGAAAGAGGTGGGCAACATTTACAAAATAGGTGAATGTAAAGATACACTGTAAAAAATTGCGAATAAAATCCATTTTACTATTAAATCCATTTTCACCATAAAATTTTAAATCACAATATTTACAGTAATATTCCTTTAATTTCAGAGTTTATGCAGTAATTATTACTATAAAACTATGGTGTATAAGTTTTTTTGTTTTGAAAAAGTTTACGGTAAAAATGTATTGGTAAAATGTACCGGCATCCTCAATACCGGAATTTTTTACAGTGTATCATTTTAGTGAAATATTATAAATAGCCATTAAAGTAATTAATAATTTTAAGTTAAATGAATCAATTTTAATTGTCCGTTGTTTAATTTAAATATTTTTCATTTCAGATTATAACATATTTGGTGAGTATTTATTTCTTGTTACTAAATGATTAAAGTTTAATCATATAGTTAAACTGACACGATGCAATTTTTTTGCAATCTCTGTTCTTGTCACAAGACAGGATTCTGAGTTGTTAACGGAGGAAAAAGGAAAATCAGTTGAATAGTTTTTGAGGTAAGACGAAGCTGAAAAATTTTATATATATACAGAAACATGTAGGAGTTTAAATATGGGAAACAAATGGAATTTTACTTTGTATCAAATGCGTAGCGGTCACTAATAATTCCACCATAAGTTCAAACTAAAGTTAATGTTGAACATTAACTTTGGTTAACATTAACTAGTTAAACATTAACTAGTTTAACATTAACTAACTATCATTAAATACATAATGTTAAGCATTTTATGCGAATGAGAATTAAACTAACAGATTAAATTATTTATTTGACAGATTAAATTAAATAGATTAAATGAATTTCAGCGTAGTGTCTCTAAGTTTAAATTGTAATTTCCATTTTATTTCGTTATT